ATTTATTTGTGTGTGTGTGTGTGTGTGTGGCCAGCTCAGCCCACCAGGGGGCGCGGCTGGCTGGCATGTGGTGCTGGGGATTGAACCGCGGTCTCTGTGCTTTGCTAAGCTTGTTCTAAGTAGGTGCTTTAGACCACTGAGCCATCTCACCAGCCCCATATTTTATGTTTAAATCTACAAATTACTAGTAGTAAATGCATCTAGTTTCTATGGATAGTCTAACAATATTAGGAGCAATAAAGGAGCCAGGCACAGATTTATAATAATACTTCCTTTTTTTAAAAAAAAAAATTATCCATCCACCCATCTACCTAGCTACCTATGTATTTAGTACAGGGTCTCACTACACAGCTTGGATTCGTAATGAGCCTCCTGTCTCAGTCTCCCTCGCGTTGGCATTTTAGGCATGTGCCACTGTGCCCAGTTCCAATGGCCAGCATAGCATGCAATGCCGGGGATTAAACTCGGGACCCTGCACTCGTCAGGCAGACACTTAGACTGCCGAGCTATCTTTCCAGCTCAGTAATACTTTCACTAATGTCACTTTCCGAGACAAAAGTTGGTTTACATTGGGGGTCCCCAGTAGCACAGTCCTATTAAGAATCAGGTCACATAACAGGAGAAAACAGATAGGACACAGAGAGGTGAAAGCTTCATCTATTTTTATAGCCTTTCTCACTTGCTCTTATTAACTCTTAAACTCTGCCTCTTGTCCCCTCAAAAGCAACATTAAAATCTCATGGGAGTAGAACCCTAATGTGAACTGTGTATCTAAGGCATCTGTGTGTGCTCCTCTGAATCATCTTGGAATCATCATCTCCACACTATCCACAGAGGACCACAGGAGCCTGGTGCCAAAAGGACTGGGGACCACTCATTTGTATTATCTCTAAGAAATCAGTACACTACAATTAACTTGTACTAATACACAAATTTTCTCCTGGACATAGATCTTACCAGTTTTGCACATGGATTATTCTTGAGACCATACTGCTACATGAAATTAAACAGACAACCTTAAGTATCACATGGTTTCTCTTATATTCTGAGAAACTCAAAATATAAACAAAGAAAAAAGTAAAAGATAATCGTAAACAGGGAAAAGGACCTTTTGCAAAAAGAGGAGTAATAGATGGGGAGAAATGAAAAGAATTAAGATGTGCTATGTACGTGTACCAACTCCCCACAAAGAATGTAATAATTATGTACTACAAACATCTACCAATAAAAACAAAACTTTTTCGCAGTTTAGAAATCACAGATTCACTGAGTTATATCCAGTTACTACAGATAATCCAAATGTGGGCCAATCACTGTTCTTAAAACATAAAAGTGGGACTGTCCAGGTAGCTCAGTGGACTAAAGCGCCTGCTTTGACAGAGCGCAATGGCCGGGGCTGATCCCCGGTATGCTGTGCTGGCCCCGCCCCTGGGGCGTGCTGAGATGGTGATTGAAACTAGGTGTGGTGCGTGCCTGTAACCCCAGTGCTTGGGAGGCTGAAAACAGGAGAATCACTACAAGTCTGATCTACATAGCCAGACCCTGTAGACCCTGTACACCCTGTCTTAAATTCATTTAAAAAAAAAAAGAGACACAGAAGTGAAAACACAAACTAAAATCTCAGCCTTTGTGGATAATACAACTCAACAGGAAAGATGGTATTAACAAAACTGTGACAGTACTTAATTAGCAATTTGAATTGAGTAAGAGTCTCCTGAAAAGGTGATTGGGACATGGAGGTGCTATCCTCATCACTGGATTAATCCCCTGATATTAACTGCTGAATGTAGTGTTAGGAGGTAGGAACCAGTTAGAGGAGGTCCCTGGGGGCATGCAGTTGAAGGGTGGAACTCTTGCTGGCACTCTGGCCTTGTGCTCTGCTTCCACCTATAATGATATAAGCCTTGACCAAGCCCTTCCACCATGACATTTCAGCTTTGGGTCGGCCAACCATGCATGGACTGAGCCCTCTGAATTGCTGAATCAAATAAGCCTCTCCTTTAAATTATGGGCATCAGCTATTTTTTTCCCCAGCAGAAGGCTGACCAATGCAAAACTCTCAGATATAAGCTAAGGGTAATGCAGTTATATGTAAAAGATGAACAAGGCAATGATCCGGAGAATATTCAGAAGATTCTTTAATCTAGGAGTTAATTGGAAAGATTCTCACCCTGACTAACTATATATACTGATACCTGTGAA